CTCTCTGCAGCCAACGGAACGATTATCAACACATATGGCCAGTTGACCTTCGCACCGGATTTCGCCTTGCGCAGAGACTTCACATGGACCTTTATTCTTGCCGACGTCAGGACAGCGATTCTTGGAGCTGTCTTTCTTGCCCACTTTGGGTTTGTCATCGACCTCAAACATCGCCGCATTGATGATTCTATCACCTCCCTCATCTCGGAGGGAATTGTCCACAGATAATTGTCTATCACGGGAATTTCCGTCGTGGCTCCGGCAGAAGTCACTTCTGCTCCTCACTGTAGTGTATATTCCCAGATGGTTTCTGAGTGTCAGAATTCTGCTCGCTTAACAGCGACCATTTGATGAGTTGGCTTCCACGGTTTCGCATCACATCGTGACTTTGGGACCTCCAGTCCACGAGCGTCCACGGCGTCTTACTGGCAATAAACTCACGGTCGCGAAACAGGACTTTGACATGCTACTCCACCACGGTGTCATCCGGCCTTCCAGCAGCCAATGGGCCAGCCCTTTACATATGGTCCACAAGAAAAATGGAGGCTGGCGTGCAACGGGTGATTACCGTAAACTCAACGCGCAAACAGTGCCGGATCGGTACCCGATTCCTCGCATTGAGGACATCCTACACCATCTTCATGGAAGCTCCATCTTCTCCACAATCGACTTGGAGCGTGCGTATCACCAAATTCCTGTCGAGCCTGAAGACGTCCCGAAAACGGCTCTAACAACGCCGTTCGGCCTGTTCGAGTTCATTGGCATGCCTCCAGGTCTGCGCAACGCAATGCAAACCTTTCAACGCCATATGGACAACATTTTTCGAGGCCTGGATTTTGTCCGCTGTTATAATGACGACCTCATCGTCGCATCAAGCTCACATGAAGAGCATCTTCAGTATCTCAAGGTCGTCCTGAATCTTTTAAGCAAGCACAGACTCAACGTCAACTTCGATAAATCTCACTTTGGCAAGGAGGAGGTTGTATATCTTGGCTACTCAGTTGATGCCTCTGATTTCCGCCCTCCTTCGGATAAGATTCAAGCCATTGTGGAGTATTCAAAACCGGAAACCATTATGGATCTCCGACGCTTTTTAGGTATTCTTAACTACTACAGACTCTGTCTGCCCAAAGCAGCGCACACTCAAGCTCCTCTCACTGATCTCTTGAAAGGTGCGAAGAAAAAAGGTAATCGCAAGATCTCCTGGACGTCTCTAACTAATGATGCCTTCGAGAACTGCAAAACCCTGCTTTCGACCATTGTCTCTACCAGTTTCCTTTCACCGTCCGCTCCTCTGATCTTAAATACAGACGCTTCCGTCACAGCCATCGGTGCTTCTTTGGAACAGGATGACTTAGGCATTCCGAAACTCCTTGATTTTTTTTCACGAAAGCTTTCACCAACTGAGCAACGCTACAGCACGTATGATCGAGAACTTCTCGCCATCTTTTCCGCCATTAAATTTCTCAAGCATACTGTTGAGGGACGTCAACTCGTCGTTCGCACGGACCATCGCTCCTTAACATATGCCTTTCAGCAGCCACTCAGCAAAGCCTCCCCTCGCCAATGTAACCAACTGGACTTCATCTCTCAGTTCACCACCGAAATAGTCTATTTACTCGCAGCAGACGACTTCGCATCAATGCACCAGCCGAGCGACCAGCCTTCGACTCCTTCAGCCTCTAATGCGCCGGAAGATATTCTGCGCTCATCTACCTTCCCGGCCCCTGGATCATCTGAGGACCCTCGATACACTTCGGCTACTGCCTCTTCACCTCGTCCACTTCTTCTTGTATCTGCTGTGAAAGACAAAAACTCTTCCAAAGTATATTATTCTAGATTATTTGTTAATTAACAAAAATACGTTGGGTAACCGATTTATTCTGTAACGCCTATGTAATTTCAGTGTTTTTATACTTACCGATGAAAGGTTATTGGTGGCCTTTGAGGGTTAGGTTTTCGTGCATTGTAGACTGGTTTATTCTGGCAACCGCGGACGCAGCAATTAACCATTTTGATTGTTACGCATAAAACAAAAAGTATTTCAAATTAAAAATGTAGGAAATGAAGAATTGCAAAGAATTATTAAATACTGGTAAATACGAAGACTGTAAATCGTACAAACAATGCCTCTCTGTAGTGCGTCCGATTCTTTCAAAAGTTGAATAGTACGCAGGCTTGCGGTCACGTGACATACCTGCCATCATTTTCTGATGGCGCATTCTGTCGACAATCTGCCGACAGATTCTGCTGCAAACCTGACGAAATCCTGCCATTGGCATATTTGACCGACTGGAATTAACGGCGAAGAAACAGGCGGAAGAAATTCAAAGGTCTACCGCGCTTGAATGTAAACAAATGCCTTGACATGAGCTTAGAACACAGAACTGCCAGAACCAAAGATTTAATCAACGGACAGAATCTGACTTGAATCTGTCAGCATTGTCGACTAGAACTCACAAGGGACTATACCGAGATGTCACTCACCGATTTTGATGAAACTTGGCAGAGATGTAGTCCTTACGAAAATATTCGACACGTATTTTTTTTTATCGGCAACCGTGGGCATTAAAGGGGTGAAAACCACCCTCAAAGTTAGGGTGGCAAAACATATTTTGGCGTATATCTCGAGAACTATGAGGAATAGACAAATAATTTAAATTGACGAAATGTGTGTTTTTAAATAACAAATTCAACTGTGCAAACAGATTTGCAAAAAATCAATTTGCATAAACAATATATAAGAAAATGTGATTTTTCTGTTAATTTTTCATAATAAACGTTAATATATTTTCTTCAAAATTTATACGTGGTTACTACCGGGCCATGTGCAAATTACGGATAAATCAAAATTTTTATTTTTATTCTGTAAAAAAAGTTATTATGTTTTACATTTTTTCGTGTTTCTCGCTGGTGTAGGCTTTAAAGCCAATATAAATAAAACAATTTTACACTTCTATGGTTTTTCAGTAATCACTGGCCTTTTTAGTTGAAGCTGACATTGTTAAAATTCGAAATATATATAAAAATTTACTTCCGTTAAGAGTACGCGCGGAGCAAGCAGATCGTAATGGTCTGGCCGGCTGACAGTAGATTATGGTCAGACATAGTAGACAGAGAAGCTTAAACTTATTCTGCGATTTTTCTGTTTCTTTCCACTATTTATTAATAAAATATCTGTAATCTATTTCATATTACCATCTTCAATTGCAAACTTCAATTTCAGTTCGCTTACGCCTTGAGTGTTTTTATGAAATTAATATAGTTTTATGATTGTAATAAATATTGTTTTATGAGTCCTTTAGTTTTTTAGTCTGCACGATAGATATAACAACTGTTCCTATTGCCACGTTTTACTGGTTTTACAGAAATGCGAAATATTAGACAGGTATTAATCCTTTTCGATTGAAGTCCTGGGAATTTCAACAAAATACTCCGTATGTACAATTAATACAGCCACAAGAGAACTTCTAACTTCGTGTTCTTATTGTATAATTATACTTGAGTTCCTTTACGTTTGAAAATATATGGGAACTCTGAAAAGAGTTGTTTTTAATGTTGAGGCTCTACTCTACGGCATTCTCTCAATTATTCAATATATTTTTCACAAAAGTGGTATTCCTGAAAATAATGTTTAAAACACAAATGATTTCGGCACCATGAACATCTTAACGCAACTACATCATTACAAAGGGAACATTTTATTACGTCTATATTTGTAAAACAAAACTGCACTGGATTTTCAAATTCTGTTGGCCTAATATTTGTATATCCGCATCGATACCATGCATATTTGAATAAATTTCTATATCTGGGGCTAGACAATTGATTATGAATTAATGACTGTAACATAATTATGTTATTTCTAGAAAACAAATTAATGTCAATGGATAAATTAATGGCTAAATCAGAAAGTTTCCTGGCAAAATTTTTCCAAATGCGGAAGCCGTATACATCTAATGGTTGAACAAGCCCTGTTGTGTTTTTCGGTATCTTCAAAATCTCAAGTTTTTTCCCTTCTGGAATTTCATCATGTATCATAGCCTCATCATAGCCATTCCAGGAATCAAACAACAATACTGCTCTCTCTGGCATATTTGGGAGGAATGCTTCGGTGAGCCACGTTTTTAAGAGTTCTTTATTTAGTTTTCCTGATGATGACGCCCCAATTATAATATTCGATGGTTTAAATAAATGATCTTGTACCCGTGGTCCTAATTGCCCGCCACTTTCTTTCAACACAAGAAATAGAGGTGAAAGTAGTTTTCCATCTGCCGAAATTGTTGGCTGAATTGTGTAACTATGTGTTACTGCCGATGATGATTGTATTAATGTTTTCGTCGCTTTCTCTCCTCTCCATGATAATGTTCTTCCGGAATGCATCTCTAATTGAAATCCACTTTGGTCCGTATTATAAATGCAGGCTTCCTCGTGATTTTGGAAATACTGTCTAACATCAAGAATAAAATTTTCTGCACTTTTATTTATAATATCTACATTCTCGTTATAATTGCGCGTGACAAATTTTGTCGTTTTTCTTGAGACGATACCGTATTTTGTTTTTAAATTCCATAGCCAATGTGTTGTCGCTTGAAATCTTTCTAGATTTAATTTTTGATTTTCTTGTAGTGCCCATCTTTTTAAGTCAATATCATGCACTATCATTTTTTGATTTCGTGCTTCCATGAATTTGGTTAATGTGGCTTTTGCTATACATTCCAATTTATCATTACGGGATCCTCCATTATCTATTTGTTCTTTCCATCTACATAATTGCTTCAAAGATGTCACCTTTTTGTATTTATTCTTCACTGTTCCCACAGATAAGTTTTTTCGTTTACCACTTCTCCAAAAATTAACGGCGTCCTCCTTATATTTCATGTCTATAATGCAGTATTCTTTTTCCAAGTTACCATCAAACGAATTCTCATATGTCTTATCGAATATTTGTGATCCTGACGATAATTGTTCATCATTCGGCTCGATGTCAGATAATACCAATGGTTCTCCTGTTTCGTCTTCAAATATTAGTTCCTGCGTAGTTTCAATTTGTGTAAAACCTGAAATCTGGTGTCTATTAATTAAATCTATAATATTCTTCGCCAATTCAATCTCTTCAGCATTTACAGGAGTCTCCTCATTATTATTATTATTACTATAATTAAAAGNAGTCAGTGTTTTTATTTAAATTAATATTAATACAGATACACACATTTAGTATAGTTACTTGTATGTATTTCTAGTTTCAACGTATTACTGGTTTATAGAATAATTATATACTACAATGTACTCACAAAAACGTTCGATAGTGTGGAAATATTTTGAGCGAAAGACGCCAAGATTTGCCATATGTCTCTTATGTCAAAGAGAATATAAAGACTCAAAAAACACTACCAATTTTCTCGGACATTTGAATCGGAAACATTCGACGGTACTTGAAGTAAATCGACGAGGGCGCGAAAAAGTTGAAGCGATGGACATCGATGGAGTCGTGGAGCCTGTGGTACCTGAGACATTAACACAACAAATAATACCTGTTGCATCTACTCCTACTGAAAATACAACTAAAAATAGTGATTTATTAGATGTAGAAGACAAAACGCAGGTACATGATAGGGAATTGAAAACTGAGGCAACAGAACTGCAACAATCAAAGATTATCAAATTACATAATTTTGTAGTAACTATGATTTGTCAAGACTTACAACCCTTAAGCATAGTCGACGACAAGGGATTCATTGAACTTCTTCGTGAACTTGAACCTCGGTATCAATTTCCAAGTCGAAATACCTTAAGACACACCATTTTGCCACAAGTATACAAGAGTGTTAAAGATTTAATTATGAAAAATCTACAGCAAATAGATTACGTTTCCATCACCACAGATCTTTGGACAAATTTAAATAAGCAATCTTATCTAACAGTAACCAGCCATTATTGTTTACGAAATAAATCATATTCAAATGTTCTGGCCACTAAAGCTTTGAATGAAAATCATACGAGCGAATATATAACACATATACTGAGAATTATTTTATCAGAGTTTCAAATATACGAAAAAACTGTTGCAGTTGTAACAGATAATGCAGCAAATATGAAAGATGCTGTACTTAATCTGGGATATTTACATTTACCATGTACAGCAAATACATTAAACTTAGTAGTACGTGACTCGATTGATGCAGTTCCAGATGTAGTTAATATGCTATAAGAATGTCGTTTTTTAGTTAAGTATTTTAAGACTGACGTCGCTGCAGCAGAAAAATTGACAAGCATTCAAACACAATTTGGGTTGCAAACATTAAAATTAAAACTGGACGTATCAACCAAATGGAAATCTTCTCTTATAATGCTAGAACGGCTAGTCGGTTTGAAGGTTCCTGTATCTGCAGCTTTAAAATCACTATCTAGCTGTTCTGGAGACATAAGTAACCAACAATGGGAAATTATAGACGATATCATATCAGTATTACAACCAATAGAATATGTATCTACGAAATTAAGTGCAGAAAAATTTTCTACAGCTTCGAAAATAATACCATTCATAGGAGGAATTGAAAATGCACTTCAGAATATTATACCCAAAACGAGACCTGGACTTGCTTTGAAAATTAATATAATATATAATATTGAACGCAGATTTGTCGACGTAAAAGGAAATAAAATTACAACAATGGCAACAATAATAGATCCCAGATTTAAAACAGCCACTCTCGAAGATTTAAGAAATGCAGACACAGCGAGTGGAGATTTAAAAACGGAAGTTCAAAGTTTGTTGAGAATGCAACATAATGCAGAATCAACAAATCAA